ATAAATGATGTCTTTAGATGTCTAACTTTTTATCTACTGTTCCATCAATTTCCTTTTCTCCTTTACTATTTGTGCTTTCCTTCTTGAGGTCTTTAACTTCAGGCTTAAAATAGCCTCCAACTCATTAACTTACCAGTAATACCTTCCACTCAAATTTACCTCTCAGACTGCTAGCACATTAATCTTCCCAGGTGATCATGTTAACTGTCATAAAAATCTTTCATAGCTCTCACCCACCTACATAACAGATTCTAAAGCCCTTCACAATCTCACCACATAGTAAACGTACATCCTATATTCAGCCACCCACAGAATTTTTTATGGTTCCCTAGAATATGGACTGACCCTTGAGTGACCCTTGCTATTCTCCCACTTGGAAATTTCATTAACCCTTCAAGGTCTCTCTTAACTATTACCTCTTCAATGAGCTCCCAACCAAGAGAGGCATTTACTGTTCATCTACTATGTGTCAAGAACACTGATAGGAATTATAATCTCCCCACTGTTTCACTGGTACTTTCAGTGAAGACTGATGTATTTTCAGACCATATAAACACCACCTGTATCAGAGTTTTCTGTACACCTCTTTATTCTGTCCTCAAAGACTTGCAGGAGTTTGCTGATATTTGCACTCTGATTATCATATAAACAGTAGAACGGAGGGTAAATAACCAAGTATTTGTTGAAATCAATGAAGTAAGATGTCTTCTGAGCACGGGGTTAAAGAAAAGGAATTTTAAGACCATCTGGAAATTCAATATGAAATGCTCTATCATCTCTATCATGTGACACAATTGTCCCCCCATCTAAACTTCAACTGACCCTTATATTTGAGGTTGGTATGAGAACCAGGAGTGAAGATCTATGGTCAAGTGATTTTCAACAAGGGTGCCAAGACCATTCAAATGAGTAAAGAATAGTCTTTTCAACAAATGGTTCTCAGACAACTGAAGTGCCATGTGCAAAAGAATAAAGGTGGACCCTACCTCATGCCATACACAAAAATTAACTCAAATGATCAAAGACCTAAAAGTAAGAGCCAAAACCAAAAACTTCTTAGAAGAAAACAAACATGTAAATCTTCATGACCTTGGATCTGGCAGGGGATTCTTAGATACGATAGTGAAAGCATGAGAAAAAAAATTTTAAAAATAAACTGGACTTTGTCAAACAATTTTTAAAATTGTTAAGGACACCACCAAGAACATGAAAAGACAACCCAGAAAATGGGAGAAAACATCTGCAAATCATGTATCTAATAAGGAACTTGTACCTAGAATTATATAAAAAATTCTTATAACTCAGTAATAGACCACTCAATTAAAAAATGAGCAAAGGATCTGAATAGACATTCCTCCAAGGAAGATATACAAACGGCCAACAGGCACATGAAGAGGTGCAATATCTTTAGTTACCAAGAAAATGCAATCAAAACCACACTAGGATAGCACTTCACACTCATTAAGATGAACAGAACCAAAAAAAGTCATATTAACAGGTGTTGGTGAGCATATGAAAAAACTGGTACCCTCACACATGGCTGGTGGAAATGTAAAATGGTGTGGCCACTTTGGGAAACCAGTCTGGCAATTATTCAAATGATTAAATGTACCATAGGACCCTGTAATTCTACTTGTACACAAATGTTTATTGCAGCATTACTCACAATAGCCAAAACCTGGAAACAATCCGTATGTCCATCAACTGATGAATGGATAACAAAATGTGGTATAGCCACACAATGAAATATTATTCCATTCCATTCTGTAAAAAGGACTTTGAAAACATTATGCTAAGTGAAAGAAGCCAGTCATGAAAAATCACATATTATATGATTTCATTCATACAAAGTCCAGAACAGAGAAGTCCATAGAGACAGAAAGTTAATTAGTGGTTGTTGAAGGTTGGGGACAGAGAGGCTTGGGGGATGGGGGCAGGGGGTGATAGTTTTATTTTGAGGTGATGAAAATGTTCTTTAACTGTGGTCATGATTGCACATATCTGTAAATATACTAAAAACCATCAAATTGTACACATTGAACAAATGAATTGCATGGTATGTAATACCTCAACATAACTGTTTAAAATAGAGAACAAGACATATAAATTTCCTGACTTTATTTTTTTATTAAAAATTTATTTATTTGAGAGAGCATGAGAGAGAGAGAGAGAGAGAACGTGCAGGGTGAGAGGCAGAGGGAGGAGTAGACTCCCCGCTGAGCAGGGAGCCCTAGGTGGGGCTGGATCCCACGATCTGGGATCAGGACCTGAGTCAAAGGAAGATACTCAACCGACTGAGCCACCCAGGCGCCCCGTTACCATTTAAGGTGTTGTCTTATTACTCCATACTGCTTTAGGGCAAGCACCTTTTAAGCTTAGGGCTGTATCATTTAAGTAAAAAGCAGTATTCCTAAACAATTTAAAGCTTTGCCTCTCAGGTACCAAAAAGAACATGCTTTCACTAGATTCTTCCTACTGCTCACTCTATTCCTAGTCCCCTATGCTAGGGGCTACCAGTGTCTTGTTTCACAGAACAGAAACGAACACTAAGGAGTTTTAAATATGCTTCATTAACTGAATTTGGCTTTATGTGACTGTTCTTAATTGTGAAAGGAAAGGAGTCTACTACTGTGTTAAAAATATACTCATACACTAAGTTGTATGGTCATTACAAGCGTAACAATGATGACAGTGAAAATGTCTATAATTTTATTTTTACCTATATGGATTTCAATTGATTTTTTTCCTCCAAATACCCTCAAAGGAAAAAGTTTCTACATAAATAATTTTTAAAAACTCTGACTTACTTTTTCCTTAATTAAAGACATTAATTTATGTCTTTCAATTTACAGCTTAGGTAATAACTATTCAAAGCAGATGATTTGCATCAGAATCATCTGGGGCTTAGCAACTCATTATTGTCTATGGACCAGAAGCAAAGTCATGAGGAGTTTGTTAAAAACGCATAATAATAGACTTATCCCAGCCCTACAGAATCATAATTTGCACTTTAACAAGATCCCTGAGTAACTTATGTATAAAGTTAGAAAAGCACTGATCTAGAGACATCTGCATTTCAAACATGAATCCCCTGGTTTCTCCAGTGAGGTTTGAGAAGCACTTTTGAAAACAAAAGTGGAGTTACTAAAAAAGAACATTCCTTCAGAGCACTTTTGGTATACTAAAAAACACTGCTATATATCCTTCCTGTAACAGTTTGGAAAGCAAAAAAGATTCTGAATTTACAAATCTCAGTTATACTAACTTAAAGTTAATAACCTGAATGAATCTATAAAAAAGGGGGTTTAGATAAACAATCAAAACCAGCTTTATTTACAACTTTCACAGTGCACTAACCAAGCTCAATTTATTAATACTCAAAACTTCTGTAGACTTTTATTGAAAAAAAAAAAAAGTCAAATACCTTATTAAAAAGTCCCAACCAAACGGGAAATAAAGATTATAATTCCTTTTACTCAACTCCTAAAAACCTCAATTAAACAGGGATGGTTATTGTTCGAAGTATTCAAGTTTACACAAGGTCAATAGTTTGTTTCGATCCCAGCTGGGGGAAAACCTTTGCAGCCCTCAAAGAAATACAGGTCTTAGAATGCTGCATAGACACTGACTCTCATTACATTTTAAGATAGTTATACAGTACGTATAAAGGGCTAAAAAGATACTAAACCCAAAAGGTTAATCTGTTATGCAAGACAATTTTTACTAATTCTTAGGATGCTGTTCAGACAATGAATCCAGCAAACATTTACTAAATGGAAATATTCAAGACTGGGAGGAACACAAAGATGATCAAAGCACTATCAGCCCCAAGAAGCATATAATCTGAGGAGAGGTGGGGTTTGACTGAGAACCTGTATACGCAATTTGCAGAGTATGGTCAGTGTGGAAACTGGTTCCCGGAAGTTCCCAGTAAATGAATTTCGAATAAAGGCTATTTTACAATAATTTCCAATTGTTTTGGTGTCTACATGCATAAGCCAAAAAGGCTTACTAAAAAGCACTTTATAAGGAAATACAGCCCAAGGTAAACAATCTTCTGGGCAATTTGCATACATTTTAATACACATACACACAAAAAACTGGGCTATGAGGTGTGGGCGCCCTCACCAAATGCAAAGCAATTCAAACCCGAAATGGATCTAGGTGGCCAATACAGTTAACAGTGTTTCCTTTGACAAAAACAGGAACACTCAACTTCAGAGATCGCTGACCATGCGAGAAAAGAGGAAAAAGGGAGTGAGGATCTGTTTTTACTTCTCCGTGGTAACTTAAAAAAAACAAAACCAACAACGAAACCAGCACCTGTCTGGACTACTCCCACCCTTCAACTTAATATTTTATAAACACTCTTATTCTTAAAAAGTCTAGGAACTAAAGACGACAAAACCGGTTAAATGTATTTAACAGAAGAATAGTGAGGCACCTCCCTTAAGGGGAACTAGCAGTCCATGAAGGGTCATGACTGGGAAAAGTGCATCCACACGCTCCCTGGAGAGCCACGGCCACTCAACACTCAGTTCACTGCTCTCTCCTTTCAGGGGCACACCCTCTCTTGGGAAGGGAAAAGCAAGCACCTCTCCAAAGGGACTGCGGAGGTCGCCGGGAGGATGGTGAGGTTTATACCAGGACTCAGGGCAAGCCCTTCCCTGGTCTGGAGAAAAGGTGCAAGTGACACCGAGGAAGGCCAGCTGAGCGGGGAAAGGGCGCTGAGATGCTCGGGCCGGTCCCTGCCCCCCATGAGAGGATCAGGTCGGCCCCCAGCCCGCGGGCTGGTCCTCCTGAGGAAGCCTAGCCGTCCAGGCCAAGCTCCAGCCCACTGACAGGTACCTGAGGTGGGGCCCGCGTCACAGGTGTCGCCCCGAGCAGGTTCCTGCAAACCCGGGGGGGTGGGGAGAAACAAGTCCGGGCAGGGGAAAGGCACCTAAAGGTGAGACGCGCGGCAGGAGCGGAGCGCAGCACCCACGGCGACGCGGTCTCACCTCTAGGGTGGACACTGTGCTGGTGAACAGGTCCTCTCCGTCCTCCAGCTCCTCAAAGTCGGTGGGCTTCGCGTCCCCCAGCGGAGGAGGTTCCCTCTCGGCCGCCATCTTCGTTCGTCCAGACGACTGCGCGAGCGGGGCCTCGCGGACCTGTCACGTGAGCACGCATGGCGCGCCGGCCGCCCCGCTCTCCCCGCCCACGGGCCCGCCCCTCGTGGCCCCGCCCCCGGCTTCGTGACGGCACCCGCCCCGAGCGCGCCGCGCTCAGCTCCGCCCCTTTGCTTCTCCTTCCACCCCGAGTCTGGGGTCTCGGCTGCCTTTCACCGCCCGCTTGCCGGCCAGACTTGGGTGGAAGGCTTTGGGGCTTTTCTTACCATCACCTTCGTAGCACGTCTAGGCCAAACGATTTCTCGGTATTACCAGGTTTAAAAGTGGGATTACCACTTTTCAAATCTGCTTTAGGAAGTGGAAGAGTTTGGGGACCAGTCTTTGGGCTTGGATTATACACAGACTGAGGGCAAGATTGAGAGGACTGGTGGAAGAGAGACACCTCTACGCTGTCCAACAGAACCCTCCGACATGATAGAAATGTTCTGTATCAGTAGAGTAACCGCTGGCCAAGTGTGACCACTGACCCCTTCACGTGACTATGAGGAGCTGAGTTTTAAATTTTAGCCGCATGTGGCAGCTCTAGATAATAAAAAAGCCCTGAATAATTTGTTGTCTGAGGTTTACTCCAATTTCCTCATGAGCCACACAATATTTTTCCTCCATAAAGTAAGAAAAAGGCTGAGCAAATGATAGGAAAATCAGTGGATGATTGCTAAGAGCGTGATACTCAATTCCCTCTGCCAATTACTAGCGCTTCATCATTGGACGGTCTCTTGACATTCCGGCTTCAATTTCCTTAGTAGCAAAATGGAAATGTTACTAATCCTCCACTCACTTCATTGCACAGGATTAGTCTCAGGATCATATGAGAAACTATGTGAAAATATTCTGAAAGCTAAAAAGTGCTATGCTAATGCAAGGTATACTCATGGAAAATTAAAAGAGGGCATCGCAAACAGCAACCTTAGGTTATAATTTTGCTGGAGGAATAAAAAGCTTCGATGGGATTCTTTACAAATTAAGTACAAACTCGCAGCCCTCACTGGCCTGGGAATTATGCCTGGCTGCTACAGGCTATGCACAAAACTTAGCATCTCTGGACTTATTTTTTTAAACTGCATTGGAACAGGGTTTTCTACTTGGCTAGGATTGCTTCTGCTCCAAATTTCTTTTTTTTAATGATTTTATTTATTTATTTGACAGAGTGAGACACAGTGAGAGAGGGAACACAAGCAGGGGGAGTGGGAGAGGGAGAATCAGGCTTCCCGCGGAGCAGGGAGCCCAATGCGGGACTCGATCTCAGGACTCTGGGATCATGACCTGAGCTGAAGGCAGATGCTTAACGACTGAGCCACCCAGGCGCCCCAGCCTGCTCCTAAATTTCTAAATTTCCATGATGATTATCAAGAAACATTAGCCCAAACCATGATTAATTTAAATACGTATACCAAGGTTCAAAAGTTGCTTGGGTCAGCTTGATGCATAGACTAGTTGTCGCTATCATGCTACCATCATCATTGCTTTATCTAGAACCACTGCTGTGTTCCTGTCTGGAAGAATCAGAGGCATATTCCCAGGCGTGCACCCCACCAACCTACAAGCGGTTTGGAGTCTGTCAATAATCAGACAATTCAACCTCTCCTGAAAGCTCACAGCCTGGGTTGAGGTGATTCTTCTCTGCATCCCTAATTTTTGCCTGTGCCTCTGTTTGTTGCTTTACTACTTTCTATTTTCTGCTATGGTCATTTCTATTCCCAGCTTATTTTTTTTTGTACTGCATATCTGAATTACTTGAAATATGGGTCCAGCCACTTGTGACAGAGAACCACATTAAAAGTGGCTGTTTTGTAAAACGTAGGTATATGCAGAACAATCTCCAAAGGCTGAAGGGGCCATAAGACCAAAGAAAAAGGCCGGACAAGTCCAGCTTGACAAGAAATGGTTTTTTATTAGGGGGACTTAGAGACAGAAGCCTGTCTTCAGTGGCAGCAAGACGAGTAGATCTCTGCAACCCCACCTCCTGTGGACCCGCTTTTATAGCCCTAGAGGCTGGGGAGTACTTGCTGGGGGGAGAATGTTTGGGAAAACAGGTGTGTGTCACAGTCATATCTCCAAAGCAGATTGGGGATATTATGCCCTGAGGGTATACTTAAGGGTGTGGTTAAACAAAAAGAAAGAATGTGTTGGGGGTGGGTGTTGGTGGGGCCCATGCTCAAGAAGGCTTCAGGTCACAGAGGGGTCATCATGGCAGATCTGTCCAAGATGGTGTTAGTCTGGTTCACAGAGCAGCTTAAAAAAAATGTAGTTTAATTGTCCCTCATATAGGACCATGAAGGCTCCATAAGATCATCCAGGGATTATAGGTTCCTTCTGTTGTTCTACCCTCCCTAGGATGTAAGCTCTTCCTCATGGTCCAAGGCCTACCTTGGCTCACCACCACAACCACTTTCCAGCTGGCAGAAGAGGAGTAAAAGGGAAATGGAATGCTAACCCCTTCCCTTTAAGGGCCGAGTCCAGAACACTTCTGTCCACATCCCTTTGAGCAGCGAATTAGTTACATGGCTATCCCTAACTACATGGCTATCCCTAGCTATTCCACTCCCTAAAAATTAGAGGTTCTCATACTCTGGAAGAAATGGAAATTATGGTAGGGCACCAGCAGTCTCTGTTATTTATTTATTTTTTTTAAAGATTTATTTATTTATCTGCTAGAAAGAGATACAGCGAGAGAGGGAACACAAGCAGGGGAAGTGGAAGAGGGAGAAGCAGGCTTCCTGCCGAGCAGGGAGCCCGATGCGGGGCTCGATCCCAGGACCCTGGGACCATGACCTGAGCCAAAGGCGGACGCTTAACAACTGAGCCACCCAGGTGCCCCGGCAGCAGTCTCTGTTATAAAGCATTCATCTACTCTTCCTGGTAGCATAACTGCATTTCCTTTTGGGTGACCATTCCTTTCCCACCCTCTGCTGGAAGTCTCCTCCAACTCAAGAATGGAGGGCGTGACCCAGGCTTAAACCAAATAGCACAGACTCTCTTAGTCCTAAGGATTGGTGGGAAGTCAGAATTGGCTGTATTTCCCACAGACACTTCAGCAGCTTTGATTGTCTTTCTTTCCCTATTCAACCTGAATTCCATGAGCCAGAACTCTAAGAATTGTCTTTCCATTTTTCTCAGCTGTTTCTCTTCATTGGTTTTTTGCTCTTCTGTTTAATCTTCTCTGAAGTCCCAAATTCAACCACCAACCTCTCTAGTCTTATATCCATATTGCTAAGACCATTTGATACATAAACCCCAACCTTGATGGAAGGTCCTGAATCAACCCCAACTCCACACTGCCTGGATGCCATTATTTGTTTCTTTGCCAAATCCTTCAACTGTTCTTTCCAGAAGAGGTTCTAAAAATTTATTTTCTCTTAAATGTCCTATCACCTTTTCTCTTCATTTTCATCAGACCACTTAACATCCTCATTCAGTGACAAAATGAAATCTGCTGAGTGAATCCTTTAGCATCAAGCACAGTTAAAATTCTGTGTTCTGCCGTCACTTGCTGTGTATGTTTCTTTAAAAAAAGATTTTATTTATTTAGGGGGGTAAAGGCAGAGGGAGAGGGAGGGAGAGTCATGTGGGGCTCAATCTCACAACCCTGAGATCATGACCTGAGCCAAAACCAAGAGTCAGACATGTAACCAACTGCACTACCCAGGCATCCTGTGGTGTATATTTCTATAACACCTACCATATTGTACCGTGATCGTGACCTCTTTTCTATAACCCCTAATAGTCTGGAGGATTATTGCATTATTGCTATTTCTTAATTGACTTTGGATCCTGGGTAGCCCTGTATTAGTTACCTATTGCTGTAAAACAAATTACACCAAACTTAACAACCTAAAAACACAAATGTATATTTTCTCACGATTTCTGTGGGTCAGAAATCCAAGTGCACCTTAGCTGAGTGCCTCTGACTCTGGGTGTCTCACAAGTCTGCAATAAAGGTAACTACCAGAGCTGCAGTCAACTCAACATTCAACAGGGAGAGGATCTCTTTCCAAGCTCACCTGGGGTGGCTGGTGGCATGCATCAAGTTCTCACTGGCTGTTGGCTGGACATGTGAATTCCCTGCCACACAAGCCCCTCCGTAAAGCCTCCCACGCCATTTATCAGCCTCCTTCCCCCAGAGCAAGGACTCTAGGAAAGAGAGAGTGGGAAAGCACCAAGAAAGGACAAGGGAGGGCAAGCAAGACAGAAGCCAGAGTCTTTTTATAACCGAGTCTCAGAAGTGGCATCTCGTTGCTTTTGCTGTATTCTGTTTATTGAGAGTTCACTTAAGGGGAGGGGCAAAACAAGGGTGTGAATATCAGGAGGAAAGGATCTTGGGGGCCATTTTAGAGGTTGCCATAAACCCCCATAGTGTCTACTACTCAATAAAATAGATACCTTCAATGAATAAATGAATGAGTACGTGACTCAAAAAAGAGGCTTAGTGGAAGATATAACATACAGGAGGTAAAGCAACTAACACAGCAAGGATCCAGACAGTTTGGGCTGCACAACCCTAAGGATCACTGAAGAAACAGGCAAAGGAAGAAGTGCTATGAAGAAAACAGAAAAGCAGTCGTCAGAGAGATAGGAAGCAGTCTAGGAGAGAGGGTTACAAAGGAAGTGAAAGGACAGAGTGTGTGGTTGTATCAAATGCCTTGAGTATATTAATAAGGTGTTAATTGAAAAGAGTGAATCATTACGGAGTACCAAAAAAAAAAAAAAAATGGATAAAGCAAGTTGTGATGGTTAATTTTATGTGTCAGCTTGCCCAGACCATGGGTGTCCAGATATTTGGTCAAACATTTTTCTGGATTTTCCCAGATGTAGTTGGGATGAAATTAACATTTAAATCAGCAGACTTTGAGTAAAGCAGATTATCCTGTATGATATGGATGGGCCTCCTCTAATCAGTTCAAGGTCTTAATAGAACAAAGATTGACCTCCCCTAAGCAAGAAGGAATTCTGCCACAGACTGTCTTTGGACTTGAACTGCAACTT